GTACCATGTTTGAAATAGTAAAAGGGCATATTGGGACATTTTTCCCATAAAGATATTTTCAACTATAGTTTAAGAATGGACCGAATATTATACTAATCACAATCATGGACGAAGTTAGGATTAAAAAAATCATGGACCAAATTTTATGAGATGAAAAAGTATTTTGGGACAAAGGTAATATATTTTATCAATTCATGCGCTCTTGGTGCAAGTCCTATAAATGTTTAGTCACTATATTACTTGAGATGTTTATACTAGAAGGAAGGATTTTAAGAGGGGTTGGTGCGAGAGAAGGTGTTTGAAATATTTGAAAGACATATTTTTGTCAACTACTCCGTACAAAATTTTAAATTGCATTTTAAAATAGGTAGAATTTATTAGATTTGTACACTCATAATTGCAATTGACCTCAATCAGTAATACATTTCACATAATCTCATTATTGGTCGGGTTTTTGGATGATGGCGTTAATGGTGGGGCCTGTCCGGTCTCTGTTACTTTTTCGATGATATAAAAAATTATTCAAAAGATCGGTTATGAAAATCAGAGATCGACGAAAATTCCATTACATTTAGTTCGCGTCCGCTTTCGTTAGCTCGGGTTCGGTCTAGGATCGAATAGAGCCGATTAAGGCCCAATTGAAGAATTGACATATTTGAGTATTGTTTGATAATGTCATAACACACTTTCACATATTTGCACCCCCCTCATTTGCCAATTTACCCAGGCAATTCGTATAAAAAATGCAATTCATATAAATGCATAGTCACCATATTACTTGATATGTTTATACTTAGACTTATTTCAATCTCAAATTAAACCAAACTTAAACAAACCAGACCAGACCATACTTGAATATCAGAAATAGTAGAAGCACCTATTTGAACATTTTCCCACAAATTTAGATTCAAGCTAAGTATAATTCCAGAATGACATAACACACTTTCACATATTTTACTCTCTTATTTTACTCTCTTATTTTACCTATTTAGAGAGACAGTGAATCTAAAAAATGCAATTTGTGTAAATTTATAGTCACCTTATTACTTAGTCATTATAAATAATTTACTTTAACTTAATTTGTATAAACCTTTGATTTTCGGCAGGTGTTGCCGGTGATACCTAATAGGAGTAGACATGATGTAGTCAATGCGACGATTAATTCATCATATTTGTGGTCTGAATGCACAGTTCTTCGTTTGACAAAAAAAATATGCGCCTGCAGAACACGACTAATCCATTATATTGGATTGCCAACATTGGTGACAGTGTTGCGAGTGAAAGTAATGATGGTCATGTTCGTATTACTATTTCTGAAGATTTATTGATACGCAGAGATGGAGATCTTATAGTTGCGAATGTTGAAAGCATATTTCCGGAATATGTTGAATCTACAGGTGATATGAGTTGTTTGTGCGACCGTGCAGCCTTGACACCAACACTGGTTGTGGTTGAAGTTGTTAATGACTATATGACAACTCTTAATGTTGGTGAAGTTTCAAGAACATATTTTAGTTCTGACAGTGTTTCTAAGGTAGATTCTACAACCGATCTAATGGCGAAACTGCACACACCTGAGTTCTTGAATAGTATAAAATTATATGGTATACTAAATAATGGGTTAATGTTAAAGGTAGGGACCCGTGATACTTTTGTGAAATATCGATCATTCAATGGGGTTGTGTAATGGGACACGTCTTATCCTAATGATGCTCGGTGAACATGTTTTTGAGGGGAAAATTTTAACTGGTGTGAGTGCTGGACAAAAAGTATTAATTCATAAATTGTCCTTGACGCCATCCGATGCCAACTTGCCTTTCAAATTTCATAGGCGACAATATCCTGTTATGACTTCATACGCTATGACTATAAATAATAGTCAAGGTCCATATTTGTCCCGTGTTGGGTTGTTGTTGAAAAAACCGGTATTTACCCAAGGATAGTTGTATGTTGCAGTATAAAGGGTTACCAATCGTTGTTATTTGAAAATTCTAATTGTTGATGAAGATGAAGGAACCACTGACAAGACTCCGAATGTTGTATTCAAAGAAGTTTTCGACAATGTTTAAGTTTACATTAAATGCATATTTACAATGTTATGGTTTCAATGTATTTGTTGGATGATTTTGATCTCTTAAGTAATGGTTAGTACTCTCATTTTGACCATGATATTATAGGTGTGTTTCATTTAATGTTTTGATGTATATCAGTATTACATGAAAATAGATGCTGTCATCAATTGATAGTGTGATTTGAATCACTAAGCACACATAAATTTGAAAGAAAAATTCTTTAACCGTGTATCGCACAGGTGAGTTTACTAGTAGAGAGTAAAACGACAAAAGGACCACACACAATTGCCAGCCCTAAAACCAGACCTAGAGTAGACCTGCACAAAACCGGGTCGGCCCGTACAAATGGGCGGGCTTGGGCATATATATTTACCAACCGGGTCGGGCCCTGCCCGCAATAACATATGGGCGGGCATGGGTTAGGGTGTACCCCGTTCGGGCCGATAAGCCCGGCCCGCTACATTTAGTATACACACACACACACACTTCGTATATATAGATACTAATTTATTCATTTATTTATTTACATGTACACATGTATATTTATATTTACTAATTTATCTTTATACATATTTATAGTTTATTATGTTTAAATTTAACTTTGTGCTTGAATTTTAAATTTTAGATATAATTTTTCATTATTATTTTTGTGTAAGTATTATTTTTGTATGTGGTGAAAGACCTATAAACATTATAAACGTATTAACAATTTTTTCCATGTTATAATATTATTTTTGAAGTATCAAAAAAATTATATGATTTTGCAAAATTTAAAGTTTTTCCAGTCGGCCCGGTAGACTACCCGGTACGCTCTTACGGGCGGATATGGACATGGGATTAGGCCTGTTTTTATGAGGTAATTCACAAATCGTCAAATCTTATAAACATGATTTTTAGGGAGTACTCCTTATCACTTGATTGCAACACTTTTTATCTTTTATAAGTGTTGCATTGTATGTGAAACTATAGGTTCAATGTGGAAACTTGTCAAAGGAATCACCATTCTCTATCTAGGAGTTAGACGTTTTTTATTTTAATTCTACCATGAAAGTGATATGATTGGATTTTTGCAAGAGGGACCTTGGTTGTTTGATCAAAATCTCATTATTTTAAGAAACTAGAAGAAGGGGATCTATAGTTGTGTGTCCTCTTACATAGGGAAGATTTTTTAGTAAAACTTGATGACATACATGTTGATTATATTACTATGAACAATGATGAGAGGATTCATAATTTTGCGAGTCAATTTATTAATGTTTTTGACTATAATTTCTCTACTGACTGAAATGCTAAAAAGAGATTTTTTGTTAGTTTGAGCTTTGGAAAACCTCTGAAAAAGAAATAGATATTGCAAAAGGAAGAAGGGGTCAGATTTTGTGTTACTTTTCATTATAAGAAGTTGCCTTATTGTTGCCATAATCAGAAGGAAGTACGGAGTGTAGATTTAGACCATTCAGAATTACAAGGCTAATTCTGAATGGGAAGGGAATAAATAAGGAGAGGGAGGCGGGGGAAATGGCTAACAATTCAGATGAAGGACATAGTGAGATGTTTGAAAACGTGGAGACAACAAAAAAGGAGGAGCTTTGGTTGCTCAAATGAGGCTTACCAAGTAAGGGATGCAAAGTGAATCAAATCTCAAATGTGTAGAAGAGTTGAAGAGGAGGCATATTGGGACATCAACGCAGATATGGAGGTGGATTCGAACTTGGCAAAAACGAGAGGAAGACAAGATGCAATGTAATGACTTGCCCAACATAGGACTGAGGATGCCACAAGGAGCTTCATGATTGAGTTCCTTTTAGTTATGTTTATATGTTTAATACTCTTTTTTGATTTTCTTGTTACGATAATAATAATCAAACAGTTTGCTGTTGTGTGTTAATGGTTGTTCCAGGGGAGAGTAACCAGACTAATATGACCGATATCCTCTTCAATTATCTTGCATGTGCAATGATTAATGTTGTTCATTTTTTAGCAATGCAACTTAAGTATAAATTAGTGAGAGGGTCTATTAATTATTATGAGTCTAGAGAGGGCATGAGACTAGATGGAAAGTATGTTGTTTGATAGTCCGATTCTACATGTTTAATATATGAAAAATTGGCAAGAATAATCTCACCTTTACATTCCATCTTCTTTCATTGGACCCTAACCTGTTGATGACCTATTATACCAGGTTTTTTAATCTTTCTTTGAAAATCTTATATAAATAATCACACCATTACAAATATACAATAACAAAGTGAAAGGTGATATATAAGATTTTCGAAGAAAGGTAAAAAACCTGATATAGTAGGTCATCAACAGGTCAGAGTCCAAAAAAGAAGATGAGATGCAAATGTGGGATTATTCTGGGATTATGTAAATGTGGGATTATTAGAGCATCTCCAATGGTAAAATATGCACGGTGCACACGTGGCATGAGAGGTAGCCACATAAATATCAGTAAATTAATTCTTTCTCTCCTTATTTGAATGATTTTATACAGTTTTAGTAAACTTTTCTCCACAATGTCAAGGAGATCGTCTAAATATTGACATTGCAGTTGACATTGCAGGGAAAATCATACCAAAATTGTATAAAGTCATTCAAGTAAGGAGAGAAATAATTTATTAGCCAATATTTATGTGATTGTCTCTCATGCCACATGTGCACCGTGCACATTCTACCATTGGAAATGCTCTTATGAGAAGATCAGTGAAAAGTGAGATTATTCTTGCCAATTTTTCCTTTAATATAAACATTCTCCTTTAAAAATCATTTTAATCTCTTACTCATAATAGCTTTGGACTAGAACGGGTTTTAGTACTTCAAATTTATATGGACAAAAGACTTGTAAATTTAAACTAAACGGGCCAGCGAGTGGGCTATTTTCCGAAACGTTCAATGTAATTGGGCATTTGGATGTAATTCCGCGAAAGGTACAAAAAATGATGATCCGAACGAGGCCCAATAAACTCGCAAAATAATCATACTCAAAAGTCAAAACCCTAAAAACAAATGCCCTCCTGCAGAAATTGAGAGTTTGGATCACAGGCAACTGAGAGAGACGCAGGTGGAAGCAGAGAGACGCCGGGAGCGAATCAAATCCAAGTATTGTTACATATATGTATATAGTTACCATTCATTAGCAACGTCTATCATCTCACTAGTTCTAAGCCTGGAGTGTTTCTTCGCAGGAAATGGCGGACAAGGCTGTTACCATCAGGACAAGGAAGTTTATGACTAATCGTCTTCTCTCGAGGAAGCAATTTGTACGTTTTCTATAAAAGGATACTTAATTTTTTTTAGTGTATACACTTATTGCTTCCCATTCTGGATCAAATATATTCGTTTCTTTTGATTGATTGTTTCATTATTAAGGTCATTGACGTTCTTCATCCTGGAAGGGCAAATGTCTCAAAGGTTAGTTTGTTTTAAGTCCTAATCCTATTATCACTGACTTAGCTCTGATGGAGTTCAACCATGTTATGGTAAACAAGGAAAAACGCCAGAATAGCATAAAAGGATTTGCTTGAGTGAGCTACCTGTGTAATATTAGCTTATCCTCGATGAGTTTTGCTTTAATCTGGCCTGGGTTTAACTGTTTAAGTTAATTAAACTCAAAAAGTATATGGAGTAGTACAATGCATTCACCACACTCAACTCCGACTTTGGGGGTTATTGAGTTGTATATTCAATTTGCTTAGGTTAAAAACTAAAGGTCTCAAAGTTATTATATAAATTCACCTAGGTTGGCCTCTATTCAAACACTCATGATTGTATAAATGTTGGAATGCGACTAAGTAGTTTAGCACTTTAGCAGCCAATGTTCTTTAACATATTGACTGTTCCTTTTCAAGTTGATTACTTCATAACTAAGTGAATATTTTTCTGGATTGGTTAGCATGTTCTTTTCAATGATAGGAGTTTCTGCTGTTGAAACTTACGAACTCTTATGTTTATATGGATTCAAGGCTGACTTGAAGGAGAAGTTGGCAAGAATGTATGAAGTAAAAGATCCCAACGCTATTTTTGTCTTCAAGTTCCGTACACACTTTGGAGGAGGGAAATCTACTGGATTTGGATTGATCTATGACTCAGTTGAAAATGCAAAGAAGTTTGAACCTAAATATAGACTCATCAGGGTATGCATTTTTTCATATTTTACTTTGTAGTAGATTATTATTTAATAAGCATAAAAGAACAAACTACTTGCTCGGATTTCCTAAATTATAGGTTTTGTGTGTGTTGCGTTTGGTGGGCATTGTTACCATGTTCATATACTTGGCCCAAAGTTTACCTAAAGAAGATATCAATATATGACCTCCTTGTGGTACTTCTGAACGACTTTTTGAACCATTATTTTACACTTTACCTTTTGCAGAATGGATTGGATACCAAGGTAGAGAAGTCTAGGAAACAAATGAAAGAACGCAAAAACAGATCCAAAAAGATACGCGGTGTTAAGAAGGTATGGAGGTCTATTATAGTTGGTTTATATAAAATAAATAAATTGTAACTATTATTGTACAAGAAACCTGTTGCTACTTATATCCTATGTGCTGAACTAAATAGCCAGTTCAAATGTTACTTTTGCAGACAAAGGCCGGAGATGCTGCTAAGGCAGGAAAGAAGAAGTAGTTTTCATGCATCTGAAGCCCTAATGTTTACCTCTATGTTTGAACTCTTCAGAGAGATGGATTTTGTTTTTTAATGATTTGATTTGTGGACAAATTGTAAGCTAATCTTGGTATTGTTTTATACGGAGTAGCATTTACCCACTTGAAATGTCTCATCTGATAAAGCCCTTCTCCTCTCACTTTTCACTCCATTCATACAATGATCTCAACCGTTGGGCTCAGATCTCCAATGATTTTGGTTTAATGTTTCAAATTTAGTAAACCGCAGAGATTTACTAATTTTGTGTAAAGCTTCAGATGATGTATCACAGCTTAGAATCCCTTGGATCCTTAAAGGGGACTGTGTTTACTCTCTACGAGGCGCAGCCTTTGTTTGGGTAAATCCGTAAATGGGGTTGTCACTTGCATCTTGAAAGTTTACAACGTTGCTCTATCTAATGTTGTTTTTGACCATTCTGCCTCCGTCCCTTTTCCATTTTCTAATATCCAAACGACAAATTTCCTGTCACAATTTTGTGTATAAATGGTTGAAATAGTTCTGGACTCCGTTTGGGCCATCCGGCCTGGGAATTGGCCCAGCCCGGCTCGCTACTGTGCTGGATGGCCTGGACCGGCCTGGCCTGGTGCTGTGGGCCCCAAACCGGTCTAAGGCCTGGTTAGCTAGGAAAAGCGGGGTGGGCTCGGGTCAGTGAAAAGGAGGCCTGGCTCGGGCCAAATTGATTTTTTTTTTATTTTTAATTTTTTTTTGGGCCAAGTTCAGTTGATTTGATCAATTTCAATGTTACAACACTGACTCATAATGATTCTAATATCTAATAAATTCATTTATAAACAAAATAAGTAACAATTATACGTTAAGGGTATAATAGGAAAAAAAAACAAAATAAGTAACCACGACAAGATGTGAGGTGAATCTAAAGTCCGGTTTACCTGTTCCTACTTCCTATTGTTTTTTGATTTGTAAGTTGCCGGTTAAAAAGGTGAAACTATTGAAATGTAAATTGGTATGGTAAATGACAGTATAAGATACATTTTTTTTGTTAAAAGCAAATAACCGCATTTATTATTAATTATCATACTCCAAAAGACTAGTAGTACAGTAATGTGGCATTACAGGTGAAGTTTCACAATCGGTCAAAACTCAAAACTACTGTCCTCTTAGTTCACACTTCACACATGAGGCAACCCATTTTGCTGATTATTTAACAAATAATTGAACACTAACAAAAGCGAAATTGTTTGATTGTGCTAAATTGAGCGAGAAGTGTGACTTTTCAAATACTTAATGAATATAAGGCTCTGTTTGCAACCACTTGTGCTTAAATAAAAGTACTTTTTGAGAAAAAGTGATTAGTAGTAAAAGTTGGTAGTGTTTGGTAAAATAAGTGCTTTTTGTGTAATAGAAAAAGTAAAAAGTAGATTCTACACGAAAACCGAGAAAGTAAAAGTTGGTATTGTTTGGTAAAATAAGTGCTTTTTTCTTAAAAAAAAAGCCAAAAACACTTAAAATAATAGTTTGCAAACAAGCCCTAAGTATGTCATTAACTCTTGAGATACAACCAATTCAATATGACTAACTATTCAAACTGAGAAATTTAAATAGGGATGAGGTAGTATAAAAGTAATTGAATTTAAAAGTATGTAACTTGGGAAATCGTATTATCAGTACAACTATCTTTAAATCAACCCTCATTTACGCCCCTAAATTTGAGATCCATCTAATACACATGAATGTAATAATTTGTACCTTCATTACACTAATTTGTAATAATTTGAACCATGATTCAAGCTCAACCAACAAATGTAGTTGACAAACCTATTTTTTCTCTTGTGTGGATGCATCTCGTTTACCATAAAATAAAATACAGTATAAGATATGCCTTTGTTCATTCTATGGTTAGATCTACTGTATCTAATTAGTTTTGATAACTCAAACATTATGTAAGAATGTTTTTACTTCGATTCTTTTCAGTTTCAGACTAGACTTAAACATATCAAATCAAATTAGGGGTGTAAACGAGCCGAGCTCGAACATGAGTATGCTTGAGTTTGATTTTGTTAAGAATTCACGAGATCAAATTCACGAGTTCGAGATCGAGCTCGAACTTAGACGAGTTAAATAATTCGGGCTCGAGCTGAGTTCAGGGTTTGCTAATTAATTTTTATATGTTTGGGCTTATAGAACTATAGAAGATGCTCGAACTCGAAGTAAACATAAAGTTTCTATTTTTCAAATTATTAATATTACATTTATACATAGAAAAAAATTAACATTTGTACTTAATCGTTCTCATTCTTTAATACCTCTCTCCTTCATAGACATTTGTATTCCTTATTCTACTATCAATAAATATTATATTTATTACAGATTATGGTTATAAAAGTAGTAATAATAAATATTTTTATATTTATAAATATTACTATTATAATATATATACATAATAATAAATATTGAAAATGAAAGTCCTAAATTAGAATACATATTTCAAATATCACACAAACGTCACAAAGGCTCACGAACCGAAAATAAATAGACTTGAATTGAGCTTGAGTATAACCGAGCTCGAGTCGAGTTTTTCTCGAGCGATCCACCATGAGCACCTCATGAATAACTTGACTCATTTACACACCTAGACCATACCGGACTTACACAAATCAGATCAGACAGACTAGACTTCCATGATTATAAAATATGTAAAGATCTAACATTTACCAACTTAGACCAGACTAAATCATATCAGAATAACAAATTTCAAGTAAAAACATCCTAAACGTCGACGTCGAATTTATCGGAATAACCTTATAGCTGTAAAAATTAAATAAACCCCTCCTCTAATGAAATTCGTTGGGAAGATGCTCCTGATATTACCCGGTTTAGCCCTTCTTTGCTTTCTTATGGCGATGTGCATTGTTACGTTGTTGGGATTAAGTGTTCAAGAGTCAAGGCCATCAGCCGTTTTGACCCATATGAACATGAGAACATTCCCTAAATAGCAGTAAAAACGTTTTGAAATTCCAATATAGGAATATCATGTTTTTTATTCCTTGAATAGGAGTAATCTGCCAAGTTTGAAAGAAAATGTCATGTTTAAAAGTCTTGTAATGCCAAACTTGGCAGAAATTTACTCCTATTTAGAGAATAAAAACTTGATACTCCTGTTTTGGAATTTCAAAATGTTTTTACTCCTATTTAGGTCAATTTCTGTATGAATATATGATAACTGTAATTTAGGGGGGTCGATGCTACATGTTTCTCCTGGTTTAGGTGGGAGTATATTTCTTTGAGATATTACCCAAAATAGGACTAAAAAGGTTTGAAAATTCCAAAATAGGACTTCCATGTTTTTATTCCTAAAATAGGACTAATTACTGTCATGTTTTGGCAGTACCAGACTTCAAATATGGCAATATTTTCCAAACTTGACAGTAATTACTCCTATTTTGAGAATAAAAACATGACAGTCCTATTTTCGAATTTCCAAACTGTTTTAGTCCTATTTCGGGAACTTTCCCTATTTCTTTTTGTTGGAAAATTAACATCGTACTAAACTTCTATGTTTCCGGTCACCAGACTGCTGAAGTTGTGGCTCAAATAACTGAATTATCTACTCGTATTTAGGGCAATTCTCTTAAAATAATTGAATTTTCTGTGATGTTAATAACTGAAGTTTTGGCTAAATCGGTTGAAATCGATCATGATGAAGTTCTGGCTGAAATAACAGAATTGTCTGAGTTATGGGAAAACAAATTGTTTTTCAGAAAAAATTATTAGTAAAATAATGAAAAAATATATAAAATTTACTTATTAGTAAAGTTGTCCTCTATAGTAACTTCATCCAATTCAACCATAAAAGTAGTTAAAATTTACTTGTTTTGATTACTATACAATTCAACAAGAGAAAAATAAAAAGTACGTATTTGATGAAAAATTGGCTGATAAAATCGATTAACAAAATAAAATGCTAACGAGACTCGCTCATAATGTTACATCAATTGAAGAACTTAAATCATGTGCATGTTACCCGTATTTATAACAATATCTCTTAAATCAATTGAAGTGAGGACATAAACTACTCCTTGATACGTAGTAGTACGTACGCCATGGTTCCCCTTAGACGTCGTACGTGACGACTTTCTATCTGTTTTATAGGCTATTTAGGAATCATTATCTGAGGGGCAGTTTTCTGGATGTTGTTTTTCCTGAAAAAAGACACTTGGTATTAAACAGAAATGCAAAACTTATAGGGTTACGTTATCTGATCCGTATAAGATTCCCAGTCAAAGTTCGTACAAGGTAGCAAGGTGAGGCAGAGACAAGAGATCGAGGTGTAATGTTTGTAATTATATTAGTAAGCTATGAGAACGTACGTACATGATTGATCAGATAGGGAAAGGTAGGATGTCGAAGCAGAAAGCTAAGCACCCATGATATATGAATATGTATATCGGTAGATCAATGATAGTTGAGTGAAGTTGTTGGATTGAGGTCTAAAATTCAATTCCAGACACCGTGAGAATTTCATCCAATGCGGTTGCTCCTTGTGCATACCAGACCCTGAATCATTTTACTCAAAAACTGTTTAAGACCATACCCCGACTTAATTCTCCACCATTCTATCGGGTCAGGTGTGGGGGCGCCTGTGGTGAACGATTCCACCTTTTGAATTGAATATGTATATCAGACTGGTTTTTCATTAAACTTAATTGTTGCATTGTTATGTGACACGGAAACTCTAGAGAAAGATCAACTACGTTTTCGTTTCGGAAACTCTTTGACTACTCTTCAAATAAGCGATTTTGAGCAAAAATGGAAGTTTCTCATTTCTCGTTTGAATTGGCAATTCTGTGGGAGATAGGTGTATTGAATTGGCACCCATGCATATATATGCACTTAAAAACGGAACTCTTAACAAAATGTAGCTAGACTCTTTTCGGCTTAGACTCTCCTTCCGTTGAATGAACATTTAGACCACAATTCAAAGATAAAATCTGGGCTTAAACACGTTGACCTGTACGTTGGGGTGGAAGTACTGAAAGAAAAGAGCGGCAGTACGTTGACCAACAATGGTCAAATTTAACCATCTACGTAGTACATGAGGGAAAAAATTAAAAACGTACTAAATAAGATGAGGAGTATTTATAAGATGGTGGAAGAATTTGTTCGAGTACGAATGTACTAAATAATTTTTGAACCCCAGCAGACATCAACACAGTAGATCGATGTAAGAATGTAAATTTGAACCTCAGAATTAGGGGTGGCCATATCAT